ACCGCCAGGAGCCTGGGCTTTGAAATCCGAGCCCGGGCGCGGCCAGACTGGTTAAGCGAGCGGGCCAGCCGAGCGCAGGCGCCACCGCCGTTCGGGGGCGGTGCTGGGGCGGGGTCTGCCTGGCTTCCCCTTGGGAGTGGGACGTGTGGTTGGATACCTGACCCTGGGAGAGGCTCACTACCACCCTCCAACCTTTGGTCTCTGGCCGGGTTAGAGGGGTTCCCGCGCTTTCAGAAGAGGGCAGCAGGCTGGGGTCCTCGGGGTGCATCTCGCGGGACGGATACACCACACTCAGCAGAGGCGCATGGTGTCATGGGGGCTGCCCGCCCTGGGAAGTTTCATCCCAGGCACAGAAGAGTTTGAGCCCTCCTCCAGCTTCTTTTCCAAGCAGTGCGGTGCTCATGCCACCTGGATGGGGTGCCCCAGGCGGGGACTTTGGAGGTGGGAGTGGGAGGGTGGTATCCTGGTCCTCAGACCACCTTCCTCCTCGGAGGTGGGGGCCGTGTGGGACCCACAGAACAGAGGTGGGCCACTCTCCCCAGTCCCTGATGCCTGGGTACATATGTGTGGGGACAACACAGTGAGTTCATCCTGTAGTTCTGTCCTGGAGACTTCAGGCAGGGAAACCCTCTGTCTGGTGCCTGTGCTGGGGCTCTGGGGAAAAGCCCACACAAGCTCCTTCTCTCCCATTCCAAGGGCCCACAAGAGCCACTTGGGAGCTCATTAGGCCAATCCAGGGCTTCCCAAAGTCAGGCGGACTCTGGCCGATAGGTTTGGTGAGCTAAAGCTCATTTAGCCAAATCAAGGGGTAGGCGTGGGGAAGCTCAATGCCCACCATACCCCCAACTCCCTGAACTGATCTGGGCCTTTCCTTCCATCCCCACTGATCTGGAATGTTCTGCAGTGTGCAAGGCCCATTCATTCAGAAACTCTAGAGGTGCACTCAGTTCATCTGTCCAGTGGGGACGTCTCATCCCCTCAGGGGAGTCAGGATGGAAAAGTCAGATTAGGTGCTCGGGAAGGCAGGAGTCAGGGGGCCAAGCCAGTGCTTAGTACTCTCCAGGAAGAAGGGGTGGGTCTTAGGGATGAGAGCAGGGCCCCAGGCCCACACCCCTGTCTGGTGAATGAATGCAGTGAGTGACCAGCCTCTCATGGCACAGCCAGTACTCCTGGGGCCACCATGAGAACAAGTCTCTGGGGGCAGGTGGCAAGGTCCTGGGATAGCTGCAGTGCCAGGCAAGAGGTGGATACTAGTGGGAAGGAGCAGGCCAGGCATGGGTTGAGGGTTTTCTGTCCTTTCTTTATTGGGGCAGGGGGTGCATCATTCATACGGACTTCTGTGCTGGTCCCTATGTGCACACAGGTGTGTATACACATATGTACACACACGAATGCATGAGGCCAGAGCTCTAGTGGGCTCGGGAGGTCAAGAGAGCATTAGAAAGAACGTGATTCCAGAAGATGGGAGCTTCTGAGGCTGCAGTCCCACCCTGGTGGGAAGCCAGCTCTATGAATGCCAGAGTGCAGGCGACTGTCTGGGGGCCTGGGGCCTGTGAGAGGAGTGTGAGTGGACAGAGCCTCTGCCCCTCTACCCTGCCCTGGGCTGGTGGCCTGGCCCAGCTCTGCCCCTGAGGCAGGTCCCCGGGCTCTGTGGGGAGGGGGCCAGAAGACCCTAAGTGCTCCATGGGACCCTCCATGGGCCCTTCTCCATGGCAGTCCTGTCAGAGGACAACCCTCCGGTCCAGGTGATCCCCACGCCCACTCCGCTGATGCCTCACTTCCAGGTGCTTCTTCTGGACCCTCTCGAAGTGCTGCAGCAGCTCTGCGTAGTCGATGCTTGGGGAGTCTGCTTTCTGCGACTTGGGGGCTGCCTTCAGACCGTCTCTGGGGGAAGGGAGCAGAGGGGCTCAGTGTCAGTGTCTCAGCACAGGGGGATGCTGGGGGGCGGGCAGCACCAGCCACAGGAGGGCAGTGGGGTCAGGGCAGGTCCACTGGCTGATGGAGCCCAACCTCCATCTCAGGTCAGGCAACCCTTCCCCAACAGTCAGCCCCAAAGAGTGGGGAGCCCTTTGAGCACCCCGTCCCCCACAGTTGGTGGGACTAGTCAACACTGCTGCTTGGATATGCCCTCAGCTTGTGGGTTGCCGATGGCGCTCAGAGCAGGCATCACATCAGGAAGCATTTCCTGTTTATGAGTGGCTCTCTTTGGGGTGAATGCCAGGGCTAGCAGCCAGCAAGGAAGCCAGCTGGGGCCTGGAACAGGGTCCAGAGAGAAGAGGGAGGAGGCAGCCTGGCTTCTTCTCTGGGATAGGGCTAGGGCCAGGGACCACAGGGATGGCTAGAAGAGTTTCTACTGGGACCTCAACTTTGCAGAACGTCTGTTTTTGAGTGTTGGGGCCCAGAGGCCTGCAGTTACTCTCTGTCCCTGGGGAAGGAGAGCTGGTCTTACCACTGTGCAGCTGATGGGTCCCAGAACTCCTCTTGTTACCACCCTCCCCAGCTGCTCCATACAGCAGCACAGGTTGTGCACTGCACCACTACAATGTGCCCGATGCTCCCTATAGTTGGGCAACACAGTAGCCCTGCTGTCCCCTTCAAGCCCAGTGTTTAGCTTGTACCTGGGGACAAGATCCCCTTGGGCCCCTGTCTCATTCCTAATCATCACCCCTGCAGAGAGTCTCATGAAAGACTTCTCCGCCCTCATTTTGGCCTCACTGGTTTGGGGAAGCACATCTATGTGGGCTGGGAGAGATCTGCTTCCAGCCTCCAAGCCCTGGTGGCCCTGATAAGGCTGTGGGGCTGTTTAGCTAAGCAGAGAATCTTTGGGCCCTTTGAGTTCATAAGGAGATTCCAGTGGGGTGAGGGGCCAGGCAGCAGCTGAGCACAGGAGCTTGATAGACCTGGGTCCGACTGTAACACGACCACTTCCTAGCCACTAGACCTTGCGCGTGTAACTCCGTATCCTCATCTTTAGGGGGTGCTGCCACAGAAGTCACCCCATAGAGTGGTTGAGGATTCCTCCAGACTTGACATGTAACAACTTAGCCTGATGCCCAGCCCCAGCCTAGGTACACAGTGGGTGGCCACTGTGGCTACAAATACGTCCTCTGAAGTGAGACCAGCCGGGGCCCAGCAGCTCAGTCCATTTAAGGGAATCGTGATGGTGCTTTCCCCAAATGGGACCCTCACCAATGAGCCCAGCTCCTGGGACGGCACAGACAACCACTGGTCAAACCCTAAAAGGCATCTCTGACAGGCCACCAGGCTGCTGGGGCAGGACCAGGGGCAGTGGGAACTCTTCTCACAGTTGGGAGCCCAGAGGTGCGCCCTACTCAGCCTGTTCCCTTCCTGTTGAAGATGCACCACCTGAAAACACCTCGGATGGGGGCTGTGGCTGCTTCCTTCTTGGGCCTCAGGCCCTGCCTCCGGAGCTGAGATTCAACTAGCGTTAGTTCCATGAAGATCAAAAGCAGCTGGGTGGGGCCTGCTCTAGGGGGCCAGACTGCGGGCAGCACTCTGGGCTCTGGCTGCTGCTTTCAACTCCCCTGGGAATGGAGGAGACACCTCCTTGTCACAGTAACCCTGTGGCCCAGGTGCCACTGCCCCAAGAGAGCAACCTGGGCTTCTGAGGAGGCTGAGGGGCACCCTGGACCTTGGAGCCCTAACTCCAGGGGGTGGCCTGATGCCACCCCAACCCACATAGGCCAGGACGGGGGAGAGATGTGTAGGCCAGAGATAACACTAATGCTGGGCCCCATGGGTCTGTATGCTTCTCCCCCCGGCTCCCAGCATTAGATCTAGAGGAACTGAGATTAGGGGTTTCTGGGGAGATGCCAGCAACGGATGGCAAATGTGGGGTGATGTGCACAGACATGGCCAGAGGAAGGTGGTGGTGGGGAGGAGTGGGCCGCACTTTGCTTTCTGGGCCCTCATGGAGGCAAGAAGTCCTGTCCCCAGGGACTCAGCCTCCCTGTGGGCAGACCCTTCCCAGCCTGAGGTCTTGGGCACAGAGAAGGGTGTGTCCATGGGGTGTGGGGACTCCTCTGAGCATGAAGGCTGGGGCTGTCTCCCTGCCAGTCATGTGGACACGGCTGCTGCTCAAGCCTTCATTTTTTCTGTATGTTTACAACAACCCTCAGGCAGTGAGTGACTGGGGGACACTCAGCCAGCAGCACAGATCTGGGATTCCAGAACTCAAAGCCAGCTTTCTCTCCTGCCACTCCACCCACACACCTGTCACCAGGCTAATGCTGGTGAGTGTCACCAGCTTCTCCTTCAGGGGCTCCCTCCTGCCTCACTGAGAAGATGGTCCCTGGGGAGTGGCCTGGAAGCCTGAGTAGGGGTCAGGGTCCCCTAGCCCTGCCGGCGCCTTGAATGCACAGGAGGGATGGACAATGGCAGATTCCTCCAGCTGTTCCTGGCATGCAGGCCTGTTGGGCAACCCGACGCTGTCTTCCAGCTGCCTGCCCCTCCCTGGGCTGAGACTGTCCTCAGCCCCCTCTCCAGGGTGGGAGCTGTCCCTCTGCACCCAACCCTGCAACCTGACCCTGCCCCCAGCTGTTCCTGAGGCCCCCTCCTCATCCACCACTCCCCTGCCTTTTTCTATGACAGCTCTTCATAGGCCTTTGCACAGGAAGGCTGGGAACCCAAGTCTTGAAGGCTGGGTAGAACCTCAAGGATCCATTTAGTCCAAATGTTCACTTACTGATGAAGAAACCAAGAGCCCAGAGAGGGCAGGGGGCTTGTCTGAGGTCACACAGTAAATCCTCAGTAGAACCTGGACCTAGATCCTAGTCCAGGCCTGTGAACCATACAGTGTCTCACAGACTCCTCTACCCAGAGGCCTCAGCTCTTTGGCCCAAGACTTCCTAACTCTGACCAGGGCAGATTCGGAGGAAAGCTTCGTTTTCTCCAGCTTCCCTCTGCAGACTTGCTCTACCCTGGCTTGGGGTGCACATGGAGAGGGATCCGACTACTCTGAGCCTTCCTGCCTTTTCCAAGGGATGCTCCCTAGAGGAGGAGATGCAGCAGGCAGAGGTCTGAGAAGGCGCTGGCCCTCAGCAGTACAGGGTCTGTGGCCTGGCCCAGAGGTCACAGGGAAGCAGCCCTTCCCGCCTCCCTCTCCCCTTGAACCGCACTTCCCCTCATAAGTGGCTGCCAGGGTGACCCTAACACCCCTTGGGCACTGGGAAGGCGGGGAGAGGCCAGGCCAGTGAAGCACGGTGTGGCGGCAGGGCCTCTCTGAGGACGAGGAGCCAGAGGGGCTCTGGCCAAGGAACTCCAAATGCAAACTGAACTCCATGCTCCTCCCTGCTCCCCTAGGACACTCTGCACTGAACACCATCTCCTAAGGATGACGTGGCGGCACCGCGAGCAGCTATCCCTGCCACCTCAGCACTGTTGTCTGGGGAAAGGGGGAGGTGGGCAGGAGCCACACCTGCAAGGGGCTCCAGCCACTCCAGCAGCCTGGGGCAGACACCCCATCTGGTGCCCCACACCCAGCCCCTGGAGGGGCCAGGTCAGGGAGTGGTGGTGGTGGCCGAGGCCCTGTGGCACGGAGCTGCACAGGGGCTTGGGTCAGTGCCCCTGAGCGCTGGGAAGGCCCATCTCAAGGCTGCCTGCATCCATCCCAAGGGCAAAGGCCTGAGACTTTTCGTGGGAGCGAGGCGCCAGGCCTGCCAAGCGGCTCCAACAGCCTGGGAGGGAATTCTAGACACACAGGGCATCTGATGCAAGCTGGGTGCGCTCCATTCAGTGTAAATCTTCTCAGTGGCTCTGCTTGTTTCCATGGTGACCTGACAAGTGAAATTTTCCATCTCAGATGCCAAATGCCTGTGGATGAGGCAAAGCCTCTAAGGGTTACCAAATATAGACATGACCCAACAGGCTGTGGGGGCCAGGCCAGCAATGGGTTCAGGGTGGGAGCCTGGACACCCCCGAGGGGCTGCAGCCCTTCTGCCCAGTGTCTGCCATGCTGGGCCTCTCCATGTAGAGTGCCTGGGACCTGTGCTTCCCACAGGCAGGGCCCGAGCAGGGGAGCCACGGGTGCACCCCTGCCTCCCACCTGACTCAGAACAGTTGGGAAGGTCCCAGCAGTGCCGGGGTGGCTCAGTGGCCTGAGGTGAGCCTCTACTACAAGATGGGAGAGGAGGGCTATCTGGGGCCTGGGAGCTCTCTGGCCCATCTGTCACCTGGGACGCAGTCTCTGAGCTGGGGCATGAACTGCATCCCCTGGACTTTCTAGGGGCCTCTGTTTGGGTGACTCCAGCACACCCTCGATTTTTATGATTAATTTAACCCTGATTGCTTGGAGAAGGTATTGCCACTACCTACCTCCTCGTAAACACTCCCAGAATTCCCCAGCCTTGTGCTCCGATGTGGAAACGAGAGGCCCAAGGGCAAGTGGCTGTGGGGCCGACAATGTCTGCAGTGACAGGAGGTGTGATGCTGAGGCGGGGGAGACCCTAGGCAGCCCCTTCAACACTCTGCACTCGCCAGGCACTGCTGACCCTGACCTTGCTCAGTGGCAGAGCCCTGCCCCCCAGCCGGGCACTCACTCTGTCTGCAGCAGCTCGGGGTTGGGCACGCACTGGAGCCGGTGAGACAGCAGCTGGAAGGCGCTGCTCTGGGGCAGCAGCATGAGCAGGCCGTACAAGGCCTTGATCAGGTACGGGTTGTTCTTCACGTCCAGCAGCTGCAGGCGCAGATCTGTGGGAGGGCAGAGAGCAGGGGTCAGAGGGCAGAGGCCTGGCACTCCTCTGGACTGTCCCTCAGCCTGGCCAGGAGATGGCCCGCCAGGTGGCCAGGCCTTAGAGCGAGGCGGGGCTCCTCACAGCCAGACATGCCTGCCCCTCCTCCAGTGGCATCTTACCCGACGATCGCATCATCCTTTCTTCCTCCCTGCCCACCTGCCTTCTGTCTGATCGTCCTAACAGTCACCTCAGCCCGGTGACCCTAAAACTGCTGCCAGGCCTGGCCCCTCCACCACTGCCTCTCTGGTAATGAGGGCGCTGGGGGCCTGTGCATAACAGATTCCCCAGTCTGCTCCACACGTGCCAGCACAAGAGAGCTATAAATAGGGTGAGCTGGAGAGAAAGACTGGATTAGGACAGCTTTAAGGGAGGGCAGGATGGAAAAACGCTTTCGTGTGTGATTAAACACACACCAGGCCCAGGAGTGTCTGGTAGATGCTTTTGGAAATCCACCTCAGATACCAGCCCTGCCCCCACCCCGCCAGCCAGGAGGAGATGCACCCAGGGCCTGCCCAGCACCCATCCCAACCAGACAGGCCCAGCCGTCTCTCCTCTGAGCCCTTCCAGGAGAATCACTGGCTTCTACCTTTAAGGCGTGTCTGGGGCATCCTTGGTGGAAGATGAGCCGCAAACTTCTAGAGAGCCCACATCACCCCAGCAGCTGGGCAGGGCCCCTGGGGCCAGGGTGAGCCAGGAAGCAGGGGCCTCCCACAGCAGGCCCTCCCCTTCCCCCGGTGGCAGTCGTCTCCAGGCCCAGTGACTCCAGCAGAAGCGGAGCCCTGTTTTGAATCCAGGCCCCACTCTGGGCCTTAGGAAACTGGCCTTTGAGGCCAAGCCAACCACCAGTGGGGTCTTGGCAATCTACGGTTGGAATGGGTGCTGGGAAGGACCAGGGTATGACTGCTGTGGTCACCCCAACAAAGTCCTGGAGGGAAGGTATTCATGGCTTCTCTAGGGTTGGGCCGGACTTGATCTCAGGTGAGAGCGTGCCGGGCTGCCACAGGAGGCCGTTGGGGAAGTGAAATGTTAGGCCATAGGACCATTTGGGACAGGCTTTGATACACTCTGCTGGGAAAAGTGTCTCCCCTTCTGCTTGTGTCTCCCAGGCATCTGTCACTGTGGTGGCTGGCTGTTTGGAGAAGCTGTCTTCTGTTTGGATGGGAAGGGGGCCCCGACTCCTGGGAGGGCAGGATGGAAAAATGCTTTTGCCTTTGGGCTCTAGGGTGGAGGCTTATGGGCTCGCCTTGGGCAGGTCAGGGGCGCTGCCGTAGAGCAGCAGGCCTGGGCAACCAGCCTGGCAGGAAGGTGGCCGTGGGCAGGGCTGCCTCCCGGCTTCTCTGTCACACAGTAAGCACATGAGCTTCATTCAGAAAGTTGCCTGCTATGGGGAGCAAGCATTGTATGTGTTGAGGCGCCAAGAGCTGCGCTCGGCCCAGCCAGCTGCCACTTTTGCACATTCAGCCTGGGTGTTACAATCAGGCAGCTCCTGCTTATCAGCTCCCAGCAAATGCCAACTCTACTTTGCAGAGACATGAGGGTGTGGCTCCTAGGCACAATGGAGCCGTGCAGGTGGGCCCAGGGTACTCCCAACTTCCAAGATCTAGGGCAGAGGGCAGCACACTTGGAGGGGTGGCTGGGGACAGCTCTGGGATGGCTGCCCCACTGGCCCTCTGACAGCATCGCTCCAGTTCTCCTTGCCGGGGTTGACACTAATCTTCAGGTGATTTTTGCCGTCAGTGGGTCGATACCCACCTTGAGGCATGCAGGCAGGACCCGTGTTCTGATGCCACATGTCCCAGCCCTGTTCTAGCTGATCTCCTCAGCCCTGTCATCCCCATCCTTACACTCCTGACATTCCAGAAGCATCCCTGGGGTGACTGCCCTCCCTCCCCAGCAGCAGCCAAGAGCTGCTCTCTGAGCTTCGCTGCACCCAGCCTCCCTCCAGGCTGGCCAAAGGCCAGAGGCAGGACTCTCACATGTGAAGATAGGGCACTCGATCAGCTGCACCAGCTTGTCCACCTCTGTGAGGAAATCCACAGTGACCTCCAGGTCCCCGCTGAGTGGGCAGTCAAGGGAAGTCTGACCACTGACCTGGGCAGCTGGTCTCAACTGGGGGTAGGGGCAACCTGGGCTCGACCCAGTGGCACCAAGCGCTCCTCCCACTGGGACCTGGCTTCCAGGCACTGAACGTGGTTCTGCCTAAGTGGGATTCAGCAAAAGACAGCAGCCTATTCTCCTCTGCCTTTCTGTCCCTCTAAACGAAGAGTAGCACAGCTGTCCCCCAGCACGGCACTCCGGTTCTGCTCCAGCAGCTCTCTCCTCTGTGCCCTCCAGTCTCTGAAAGGCTCTTATCACAGCCCTGCAGCCCATAGGGGAGGGCTGGGCAGGAAAGGCCCTCATTCCTGCCTGAGTGGACGCCTGTCAGCAGGGCCAAGGATAGGCACAAGCATGTGGCCTACAGTCCCTAGGTGATACCAGGGGCTGAGAGGAGCAAATCTAGGTTTGAAGGCGAGCAGGCACCTGGAGGGAGCCAGGCCAGGCTGCAGCTGACCCTCAGTGAAGGCACCTCAGGGCCCCTCTTTCCTTACCCCCAACTCCTGGCCCATGAGGGAGGAGACTAATTTTGTGCCCTAAGTAGATCTCCAATCCAGGGTCACAAGCCAGGTGTTCACAGAAGCTGGTTTGCTTCACAGTGTTTCAGACAAAATCTGACCATGGATGCCTTGCTCTGAGGCAGGCCCTGAAGTGTGCTCTCCCTCTCCCAGAGGCCACAACCCATCCAGCCTGCTTCTCCCTGTTATGTCATCTGATGAGCCTGCTGGGCTCTGCCTCTGTGGCCCCTGAAGGTGTGTGAACTCCTCACCCGCCACCTGCTGCAGCCCAACAGCCCCCTGCTCCCAGGCTTTCTCTCTCTGCTGTCCCCCAGCACTAGGCAGAGGGCACCCTGCCTCTTTCCCGGGGTTCCCTTACTTAGGTCGCCTGGTAAGCACCTGTCTCTGATCCCCATTCACAAGGCTTCTTCCAGGGCCAGCTCCCCTCTGGGGAGACCCCAGACATCCCTGTTTATTGCCAACAGCAGTCTCTCAAATACATCCCTCACTGCGCTCTCACGAGTCCTGAGGTTGCCAGGCCGGGAGGCAGAGCCTAGGGTCGGGACAGGAGGATGGCAGTCCGGTCTCTCACGTGGGTGGAAAGGGGGCCCCTGGCCCACACCTGTCCCTCAGTGGCTGGGCGGGAAGAACAGTGAGTGAAGGATACAACTTCTGGATGAGGTCATAGGCATGCCGGTAGTTCTGGGTGAGGAAGCAGAGGGACACCGTGGTGACTGGGTTGTGGCACCAGGAGCGGTACAGGCAGCAGAAGAGGTTCTGACTCTCCTGAGGGGGAAGAGGTGTGAGCAGTTAATAGAGCCCCTGCTCCATCCCCTCGGGGTCCACAGCCTAAGATTCGGGGATGCCAGGGAGCCAGCTCAGCACCCGGGCTGTGTTTGGCAGCCCAGCTGGGAACGAGCTGTCACAAAGGAAATGCTGACAGCTCCTCCTCAGACCCTGTCATTACTCCTGGTCCCGCAGAGCCACGTGGTGGTGGCTGTAAGGGCCTGGTCAGGAGTGAGTCTGTCCTTTGTGCTGGCATTTCTGCCCTCGGCAAATAACAGTAATCGTCCTCTCCAGAACTCTGTGGTCCTGGAGCCTGTGGGGCCGGGACAGGGTGTGACAGGACGGCACTGGGGGGCGGGTGGGGAGGAGGCTCCCTCAGGGCCCTGGCTCTCCCTGGCAGCATCCTCCCGTCTTCCTCCAATGCCATTGCTCCCCTCCTCTGCAGCCCACCGTGCACTCGGGAACCAGCCTAGGAGCTGGGCCCAACTCGGGAGAGCCCCTGCCCTGAGGAACATTCTTCAGGCCTCCACGAATGTCTGGAAGGAACCACAGGAAGGAGGCAGAGGTGTGGCCTGGATCACTCCCAGGGGCTTGGCCCTGGATGCCCTCAGGCATGGGCTTGGATGTCCTGGAGCCTCCCTAAGAGGGGCCCAAGCAGGTCTGAGGGCAGTACCCCCATCTCCAGCAGGGTTATCATCCTGAGGCCAGGTCCTGCAAGGTGGGCTCAGAACCCAGCCTACTCTATGTGTGAGGGGGCACTGCCGAGTAGGGGAGGGTATCAGGGAGGGCGTGTGGATCTTGGAATGGGGTCTGGAGTCTCCTGTGGGCAGAGACTTCCATAAGGTGGCTCCAAGGAAACTCGCTGTGACTCACTTCCATGGCTGGTGCTTACATGCAGCCAACCCAGAGGACCCATATTTGACACTGGACCAGGGAGACCTCAGGTTTTATCCCTGTCTCCTCCCTGCCAAATTCCTGGGGCCGAGGGGTGGGCTGGCACAGCTGTGTGCCTGTGTGCATGCGGAGTACCGGGGTCTTCAGGTCCTTGAGCTGGTTTCGCAGCTGGAATAGTTCAGTGGATGTAAGCAGGATGGTGTTGAGAGTGTGGACCATGGTCGAGGCGAACTTGAGGTCCTCTTCCCGGAGCAGGATGTCTGCCATCGAGTGGAAGATGTTCTCCGCATTCAGCAGGAGGCAGAGCTGCCTGAAAAATGCGCCGAGTGGAGGTTCTGGAAACCTCTGGGCCTCAGCCTCAGAACCCTCTCCCTGGTCTTGTAGCTCCTAAGGAAACCTACTCTTCCCTGGTCTGGTGTGGGGCCCCAGCTCCGGGGCCTGTAGGGGCCACTGGGGCTGCTCACGGGTGCTCAGTGGACCTGGCTCCACTCATCCCAGCAACTCCAGAGCCCCACGAGCTGTATTTATCCCGCCACCCAGCCCCAAGCCAGAAAATGTTTCCTGAGACCAACAGCTGGGCCTCTGGCTACCAGTGTGGTCAGAGGAGCTGAGTTACCTTTCTGATCTTGGCAACACCCCTCCAGTGCCCCTTCCTGGTTTTATTTTTCTGGATCGAGATTATCTTCATGTAAAAATAACACACATACTGGTCACCCACGTACTGTCCCTTTGCCCTCCCCCTGAGAGAGTCCTGGGGTCAAGAGCTGTTTGTGCTGTTCACAGTGGCTCCCCTGCCTGGAGCGGTGCCTGCAGGTAGAGGGGCGCGGTAGGTGCCTGTGGGATGAACAAGCCCTAAGACAGCCCTGAATTTTGCCTTCGCTGCTCTGATAATTAAACTCTACCGGTGCGGTAGCCAAGTGACTTGGCCAAGGTCTCCGGATTACTTAGGGTCACTTCTTCCTACCATCTCTCCCCTAGGTCTCTGCCCACAGAGGCCTGGCTTTGAGGGGATGAGCAAGTCTTCCTGTCGGACTCCAGGGATCTCAAGGCTCTGGATCGCAGACAAGCAAACTTGGTGAGGAAGGTGGGGTGTGGCCCCGAGCCTTCCCTGCCTCCTGTCCAGGGTTGATGTCTCTTTGCCTGACTCCTAGTCTCTGCTCTAGGGAAGCACCCACAGACTGTGCCTTAGGCTTGTGGGGTCTGAGGGGTCTGAGGCCCCAAGGCCTTGGGTGCTGAATGACTGAGCACTCTTTGAAGCCAATGTGCCTGACACCATCCATCCCCAGTCACTGAACTCACACTAGACTCAGCATTATCAGGGACCGGCTTCTTGTTTCCCTCCAAATACCAGCCATGCCTTGGGGCCAGGCTGGAGAAGATTCTTCCCCAGCCCCGGCTCCAGAAAAATCCCAGAGCATTTGGTAACAGAGAGGCCAAACCACGAAGCGCAAACAGCAGGCAGGCCGTCTCCAGCCTAGGCCCAGCCGGAACCAGCAGACTTGGGCAAGAAACCACCAGAGAAATGGAAACAAGGTTGTTGGGGGAATGAGGCTTGAGGGTGGTGTGGGGAGGGCTCTGCTTCCCCCCCGGGGTGGGTGTGTGTGTCCCCTGCTCGCATGGTGTGGGTGTGGGATGGGCCACAGCCCCAGAGCCTGGTGCTCCTGACCAGCTGTGTCACCCAGTATGTCCGTGTGACAATTTCTTCTCCTCCGAATTGGGGGTGACTTCTATCTGCACCATGAGGGCTACTCAGAGGACAGCTCCTAGACTAGTGACAACTTGGGTGGGGTGCACAGTATGTGGCAAATAGGATCCCTGGTTGGGTACCCCATTAGTACCATGGGTGGGGACGACAGCCAGCTCCCAGGTGGAAGCCTGGCCCTTCAGCAGAGGGCAGGTAGCACTTCCTGTCCCCCCCTCCCCCTGCTCCATTCTCCCACCGAGATGGGCCCCATCTCCAGGGCTGAGGGACAGAAATGTTTCAGGAGGGCAGGCTGGGGAGGAAGGGTAGCATTCTGACAAATGGTCACAAATGCCCGTCACCTGCAGCTGCTGCCGTCTCCATGACAGAGGCCGACAGCTGAGGCTGCTGCCAGGCAGCACTCTCCAGGGACCACAGGCCTGAGGGACCTGAGGCAGCTGGGGAGGCGGGGGTGGTGCGCTCACGTGAGGGCCGCTGGGGAGGGTGTGAAGGGGCAAACGATGGGATGGCGGCGGGGAGAGGTGGGTACCAAAGTCCTCTTGGTGTCCCCAAGAACCTGGGAACACTGACAGAACTACAGAAGGTCAGAGTTTTCTGGAAACACTCTGCTCTTGCCACCATTACACTCACCTCCTCTAGTGTTTCAGTAGCCCTCTGCTCCCTCTCTGGTTTGCACCTGTTGGTGGTCATGTCTGGTCCCATGGATATCTTCAAAGTCATCTCTAGATCAGTCGCTACTACATGCGCCTCTCGAGCCCCTACTGAACTCTGGATGGGACAGCCACCTGCCCAGTGGATGCTCTGCCTGGCTGCCCGACAGGCATTTCAGGCTTGGCAGGGCCTTAGCACACCTCTTGGTTTCCCTCGGACTCTGGTCCCCCAACCTTCAGGGGGGGCGTCACCGCCCACCAGCCTCAGGAAGTGGCATCACTGGCCAACCAGCTGCTCCAGCCCAAATCGAGGAGTCCTCCTTGATTCCCGGGCCCCTCTGTCCTATGCACCAGCCACCTGGGGACTCTGCCTGCAGGGCACACCTGCCTCCTCCTGGCCCATCTCAGCTGTCCTTGGTAGGAGTGTCTTAAAAAGTCTCATCAGAGCATGGCATTCACCAGTGGCTTCCTGCTGGATCTAAATAAACCCAGCTCCTCATGTTGGCCTCCAGAACCTCATATTGGCCGCCAGAACCTCATGCCTTCTGGTCAGTTCCTCTCTAACCTCAGCTCTTACAAGTCCTCCTTTACTCACGACGTGCAGCCTTCTAGAGCATTTCTTCTGTCCCTGACCTCTGCCCTGGCCAGCTCTGCCCAAGGACCCACATGTGGCTGGCTCCTTCCGGCCTCCAGGTCTCAGCTCCAACACTAGCCCCGGTGAAGCCTCTGTCCCCTGCACCCACTCCCACCAGCCCTTTCTAAGGAAAGTCGTTTCTTTCCAAGCATTTCTTACTACTTGACTCATCTGGTTGATGGACTCATTTACTGGGTCCCTGGTGGTTTCTCCTAACAGAATGTGAGCTGAAAAGGGCAGGGCCTTGCCTGTGACTCTTGTGTCCCTCATACCAAGAATCACTTTTGATCATTACTGCTGATCTCCATCCAAGATTTTATGGACAGGCCTGAGACCTTCCTCTCCTCACTCCAGTGCATCCCTTAGCTCCTCCAACATGGGCCCCGGCCTGCTGTGCCAGCCTGGTCTGCAGAGAGCAGCTGCCCTGATGGTGCACTTCTACCCTCTCACCCAGGGCCTGGCTGCCTGGCCCAGGGAGACCCCAGGAGATGACTGAGCACACGTGGCCTGAAGGACTGGCAACACAGCCCACCACAGGGTCTCCCCTGAACACTGCTGATTAAGCCAGCACAGGGGGAGGGTGATGGAGGAGCGGCAGCGGGGCACATGCAGTCGCTAGTCTTCAAGTCCCACCCACGGTGCTCTGGGTGTCTGCAGCTACCCTGGCTTCAGTGGGGTTTCTCTCCTGGCCCAGGAAGCCACTTGGCAGAGCCTGGAGGGCCTGAGGCAGCAGCTCGGGGCCGGCGGGGTGGGGGTTCCAGCCCTGCAGCTGGGCAGGGGCAGGGGGTAAGAGCAACACTGGGGGTTGTACCTCACCTCATCTGGCCTTTGCTGTCTCATCCCAAGGTCAATTGAGTTTGGGGAGAAGGAAGATAGCTCCCAGACCGCTCCAGGAAGCAGGAATGATAAAGTACTTGCTGGCTCCTGGGGAGACCTGACCACATGCCGAGTACTGTGCTGAGGGTGTTACACCTGTCCACTTGGGACAGGCCAGGGGTGACAAGAAAGGACATGTTCATGTCTCTAAGTGCTCACGCGGTTCAGGGCACTCTCTAGGCATTTCAGAGGAAGGCAAGTTTGGGTGGGTGGATAGGGCTGTACCTTGGAGAGCTCTGCACACCTGTATCAGGGAGGTGGGGGAGGGAGGAGAGGGGTCCACTCTTCACCCAATCCTGAGTCTCCACAAGCCCAGCCTTAGGTTCCTCCCGTGGCATTTGCTGAGTCCTCACACAAGCCTGGACCCCCATGCAGAGAAGCCCTGCGCCGCAGGTCATGTAGCTGCCCAGGGGAGGAAGGAGGGTGGGTCTAGATCCAGAAGCCTAGTTCCTTTCTGCACTCTGCCTCCTCTGTGCCTGTCGTGAGCGGGCACCAGGGGCCGTCCCCACCCGGCGGGGCCTGGCAGATGGCTGCCTCGCAGGGCTGCTGCATCATCACTTCTCTCTGAGCCCCCGCCTGGCTTGAGCTGCCTGCCGGGCTCTCAAGCAGAGCATCAATAATGGAACACAGCTTGCAAGCATTAAAATTTGCCTATATTTTTTAATACCCATATTAAAGTGCTATTCATCATGAGACAATGGCTTGGAAAATACTTGGGGACAAGGCAGAAAGGTGGGGCGGGAGGGAACCTGGATGGGGTCTGGGAGGTCACAACCTGGAGGCCCACCTTGGGGCCAGAGGAGGACAGGGGTCCACACGTGTGTGCCCTGAGGTGGCCTCTAGTGTGTAGCCAGGGGCCCATAGAGGAGGCTCTGTGTCCCTCTCCGCCAGACGCCCTGCTGCTGCCTAGACAGCTGTTCCCCCACTTCCAGGTCTGGCTTCATGCTTGGGAGGGAACAGCTCTTTTATGTCTCTCTGTCATATACAGGAACTTGAGGGGAGCAACCTGCCTCCGGTTGTTTCTGAAGCCCCTGGGACCCAAGAGGGGGAACACCACTTTCCCTAATAGACTGAGACAGCACAGAGAGGCCCACACAGAGGCTTCAAAAGAACAAGACCTACACTGGGGCCAGAGGAAGGCCGCACCATACCTGTCTGGTTGGTGTGAGCCTAGTGTTACTGTTGCTTCAACTACAAATACTGGCTAAGCATCCACATGCACCAGACTCTGGCCCTGAACGTGCACCAGCCTCAGCAGAGGCCCTTGGTGGGAGGTGCTCTCCCGAGCCCAGCCTGGTACCCACCTACTGCTCCTGCTTCAGGTAACAGGTGGGCCAGAGGGAGTGGGAGGAGGAAGGCATTAACTGGCCTTGCAGGTGGGTCAAGATGGGCCGGTCAAGCTGTGAGGCCACGTGGCCTGGGCTGGGCAGGAGAAGACCGGCCTCCTG